AGAGAGAGAGAGAGAGAGAGAGAGAGAGAGAGAGAGAGAGAGAGAGAGAGAGAGAGAGTAAAAGAGAAATAAAATGATATATTTTTATGTATTTTTACAATTAGAATTTTTTTATTGCATGGTTTTTGACGACCAAAGACGCGGCGTTCAATCGCAGCTTTATATTTATAATATATATATTGAACAAATATATTATCTATACGGACATAAAATGCACACTCAAGTGAGCAACAGAATTTTTCGATTTTTATTTTGATAATAATAATCAAGTATCCACGCGGAAAAAAGCGTGTGTTGTTCGAGTAAAAAAAATGAGGGCATTGTTCTCAGGGATATAATAAAATGTTCTGACCCTAACAGCTAAGAATAAACATGGGCAGATCCTCGAGAAAGGGAGATGCTTCTAAAGAAAAATAAGGGGAAAAAACGACGGCGAAATATTTCAAATGAATGTTCGTAGTATTTACAGTAATGTCGAGTTGCATTGAAATGCAGCGTCGACACGCAATCCCTGCGCAATCAGTATTGTTTCACAATATTGCGCAATAATATATTGATTAATGTTTATATTGATATCAATGTTACATCTACAGTCAGTATTATATATAATATTATTGCACACTTTCTTCATATTGTGTAATAATACATTAAGCACTTAATATCCGTACGGATATTAATATTATATATTAGTATATAACATATTGTATCAATAATATTGATCGTGTATGGATTTCTTTTTTTATTCTTTGGCTCTGGGAACATGAACATGATGCATATATAAATCTCTTCTTATTCAATATATTATTTGCATATGTACAGATTGATTTACGATATTGAATGAATGAAGAAACATTCAAATTGCGTTAAAAGTATAAGTTATAACGTTATAAATAGAGGCTATGAAACCGATGTAATTTCATGAAGAGTTCAATTTTTGACACTATGAACGCATACTTAGAGATTTCTTTTACCTGTCTGTTCGTGTAAAACACGACTAGCAAGAGTTTCCAATTTTATTTACAATTGAAATTGAGCTCATTAAAATCTTAACGGTTTCTTGATCATTATTTAATGAAATTGTCAATTAATTCGACATTTTCTATGAATCGCATTGAACATGTACGTGTCTAACATGTATTCATGCAGAGACATGAGAGAAAAGTTCTCTTACCTGTTGTAGTAGTAGAATTTGTAAATGCTTAAGGAGGATTTGTATGAATTGATATTACGGTTCGCACCGTTCTACATAAAATACATGCAACACGCCATTAAAACATCAATGGCAAATAACTAATCGATCGTTTTCCAAAATGATTTGGCCTATGCATTTGGCTTATTCACGAAGAGCTTCTTTCGTCCATAATGAAAAAAAAAAGATTCAAAAATGGAAATACGACGTTGCGAGTGCTAGGAGTGGTGCCGAGAACTGTATTGTGTTGTCACTAATATTACTAAGATTATATGACGTATGATAATCTTAGCAATAACGTGTACACATGCGTATAGTACAGATATATATTATTTGTATATAATGAGTGCTTTCCAAATATACAAACCAAAGATACAACGATTCTGTGCCTACGTTCATCCTCCTTTGTCTACAATCGATCACTTTCGATACTGTTCTATACGATCAACATGATCACGCATTGTAGAAATATTTTATATAATACAATTTATACATAGGAAATATACAGTGGTCAAGGATTAGTGACGACGAAGAGGAGATCCGCCGCCGGATCCTCGCTAAAATACGCCGCGGAGTTAAATGTCGTCGTCCCCGTGGAATCTACTGTCGTCTGCAAATAAAATATTCGGTTACGTTCTCTCTATCACAACTTTTATCACTTTGGAAGAAATAGACTATCTGATTTCTTTTTTCAACGAGATTCTATCATAGACGTTTATATTGATTTTTCACAATTGCAAGTACTCTCGCGTAAAGATATTACCAAACATGTTTATATTTGTTAATAAATCTTTTCATCATTGCGTTATCTCAGTGTTGTTTGTAAAAGAATCAAATCGTTTAATCGAGACAAAGCGAACGCGTTTTTAATTGTAAGAGTCAATCGGTTCCGGACGATTGGCTCCTCAAGATCCTGCTAAGATGCAAGGCATTGATTCACCTCAGATGGATCCACGCGATACGGGGAACTTTCCGTCGTCGGATGCTGATACTGCGCCGATTGCACATGCTGCGTGCATTGTTGCTGCATCAGCATTTGTTGCTGCTCCTGTTGCTGTTTCCATTCCTCATATTTTCTCATCGCGAGTATCAAATCGCGATTCTCGTCTGCCAAACCAACATTTTGCGTCACATTCTTCGTCAACTTGCTGTACTCTTCCTCGTTTGGCGCCACTGATTGTTGCTGTTGCTGCTCCTGCTGTTGCTGCTGTCGTTCGTCCATCTTTTCGGTCAAAGAATTTGCCGAGTAGCAAATGTCAAAGAAATTCTGAGCTGTTGGTTGCACCGCGACTGGACTGGACACGCTGGGTGCCGGTTGGCTAACTAGAGTGATTACTTGCTGCGTTTCCTTACCCTCGGTATTGTACATCAATGTCGGTAATGGAACTGGAACTGGAACTCCACCAGATTGCACAGAATTTAGAATGTCCAATGGCTGCGTCACGGACTTCACATTTACGTTATTCTCATTAGAGCACTCGATATCGGGCGAAGAGGGAATATTTTCTGGTTGCGGCGCTATAGGTCCCGGAAAAGACAAAGGCTGCTGTTGGCCAACCAAGCTAATAACTTGCGGCTGTGGTGATTGCTGCTGTGGCAGTTGCGGAGGCGGCAGAACCGCAACAGGCGGTTCGGGAAAGAGCTCCGCTTTCAGGTTCGGCAAAAACGCGTCGATCGCCCTCCACGTGGGCGCCCAGAGATTGGAACTCGGCGCTAGAACATTGGCCGACGACATCACTAGCAGCATGTTCTTCAGCGATTCAGGAATCGCTTCGAACAACAGCTCGCTGTTATCAGCGTGCATGTATGCGCGCAGAAGCTCCAGCACTGTTAACCAAAGCGGCAGGAAACCAGGTAGAGTTAACAGTGGAGTCAGATGATGAAGAAATACCTTGGAGAGTAACATTGCGGCCCTGACTCTTGTTTCTTCGACGCCGATAGGATCGTTGGACGCGATCGGACCCAATAATTGCGCCAACAACGGGAACAATACTTCCTCCAAACATTGCGACCACTCTATCGCGGACAGCTGTGCCAAATCATGCGCCAGCAAGGTGCTTTGAAGATACGTAATCGCTGCCGTGCGTACTGGTCGACGAGCGTCGCAACAGAGTCGTGCGATACCTTGCAGTAGCGGTCGCCAGGCTTGCGGCCACAGAGATATACCATCGTCAATGCTACCTTCTTCTGCCCACCATCGGAATACCTGTGCGATTCTCGTGTGTAGCGTGTGCATCAAGTCCAGGAGTTGCACCGGGCTCTGTTGATAACCAGCCGATTCCTCCGCGGAGTTGCATACTTTGTTTCGTTTGCCCGCGCATTGCAGCACCGCCTCGGCAAATGTTCTAACGCAGTTGACGCACAGATCAAAATTGAAGGGCGTTACATGCGCCATGTCGCGCACTAGGAAGTTCAGACTTTCGCAGCATTTGACGAACGCCGCCGAGTCGTGCGACTGTAGATCGCGCGCTAGCACTATCGTATCAGCGGCTACTGGAAGCGGTGCCTCGGTACCAGTTGGCGACACTAATACCCATTCCGGCACGGGACTGATGGGTCTGGGATCCAAGACTGATGTCCGAGCGTTCGCAGTTTCATCTAGAACCGTGTTGGATCGCTTGGGTGCCAATGCGCCGGCACCCGCGCACTCCAGCAGGCTAAATACTACCTTCCAATCTTCCGCACTATGAATGTTTGCAGCGCCCGTTTTCAGTAGCTCGAACAGACCGTAGGCGATTTGCCGAGCTAACGGCGCGGTCGTTGCGGACGGTAAATGGGTCAGAGGTAGTAGAGGTGATAGACACGCAAACTCTTCTCCGCGTAAAAGCCTGATAGCCAATCTCAACATGCCTACAGCTACTCGTTCGAGCAAATAAGGATGGTTCTCACGCGCCGCCACCGTTAACAAACGGTCCAAGTGACTCTGAACCACAGGCCAGATGCACGTTACTCTGTCACGATTCTGTATAGTTACTTCTAGCAACAGCTCCAGTAGAAAGATAGATATATCTTCGTCGTTAGGATTAGCCGACACCAAAGCACCAACAAGAGAATTGAGCGATTCACTCTGCAAATGATAAAGGTTGTTAAAAAATATATAAGGCCATAGCTCAATAATTACATATCATCGATTTACCTGAAAGAATTTACTTTCCTCTATAATTTCTTTAAGATAACAATTGGCAATGAACTCTACGGCCTTTTTTCTCGCGGTTGCTTCAGCGGGATGAGGCAGACGTGATGTGTCCATAGCGATGTAGGAATAAAAGGTGGAAAGTATTCCTTGATCACCAGGGGAAGCTTTAGGCGTGGTCGGTTCCCGGAGTAGAGATATTTTGCCGGACGGATCAATGAAGTCTTCCGCCTCCGTAAGATTCTTTGGCAATAATCTTGCCTCGTAGAGCGATTGCAAACAATCGATGATGTTCTTCCAAGACGCTCTCAGGGCATCCCCGTGTAAATGTGTGATCTTGAAAAGAGTGCGAGCTGCCATTTGGGACTTTGGGCTTCCACCGAGATGTAAAACTACTTGCTCGGATTTCCCGCCGATTATCAAACCCGTGAACTTACAGAGACTGACTATAAGCGTATCCAAATCATTGCACATACTGTGGTAAGCGCTGATTGCCGCGCAACTGAAAAAAGAGAAAATAAATTGTAGCTAATACAAGAATAAATTTATAATAGGTAGCAACAGAATAAACA